AAATTGAATTTTTGTGAGTGAAAGTGAAAATTCTTTCGAGAAGAACAAAATTTTGAAACTTGAAAATTATCCAAGCATAGATTTTTAAAATTTAATCCAAAGTTTATGGTCAAATAGTAAATTTCATTTCTTCATTGAATTTATTAGGGAAAAATCTCAGGTCTACCTCTTTTGTATAGTGAATCATGAAAACATAATTACTTTTTCCAAAAACTTTATTTTGTGCCTAAACATGGCGTAGTTGTATATTGGCATCTCATAAATGCTTTAATCCCATCTCTTTGTTTAATTTTTCTTTTTAATATTGAATTCACTGACTAAATTCCAACTCAATGTTAGTGCTACTCTACTTCCCTCCTTTTCAATTGTGGATTTAAATAGAACGATTTTTAGTCTTAATCAATTAGAATTTCTCAAAATCCAATGTAAGAAGACAAATTAAATTTCATTCCCTTGAAAAAAAATATTCATTTTCACAACCAAGGCTAGACTTAATTTTGAGTGTGAATTAATCGAGGTTCTCACAAGTTTCATATATACTAAAATGGCATGTCTTACTTTGTTACCCTGTAAAGATTTGAATCTTTGACCTTTCATTGACAAAGGCAAGATAATAAGGCGCAAAATGTGCAAGTTCTATACCTCATTCATTCTATTAATGTGGGACAATTTTAAAAAGGAAGAAATAAACATTGTGTCCATTGCCAAGTGCCTTGTAGTCGCACCTCCGTCTTCATTCCTTTATTGTCAAAGGCGCCTTTAAGACATAAAAGAAGCACTACTCATGAAAGGAGGACAAGTAGATGATGATATCCAACTTGGCTTCCAACCTTATGTAATTGAGTTAGATGAGTAAAACATCTTATCTGATTTATTAGCTATGAATATAATGAAGTCAGTCATCTCATTTCGTTACAATTTATAGTAATAACTCACTTCTTTCAATTCATGTGATAAAATTTGACTCACTTAATGATTAGAAATATAAAAGATCATTCTTGAAATAAGTGATTATAAACATGAATGTCATAATATTTGAATAGATTAATTGAACACAAAGGTTGTATCGATTCAAAAAATGAGATTAAATGAGATTTTTGTCGAAAAGGTTTCCTTGACTGCTTCTATAATTACGTGAACTTCCGGATGTGGTGTATGTAATAAATATGACACTACTTGAGTCTAACTCAACCCTAAAAGCTAGTTCATTAGGGATGGATTTCCAAACTGACACGCGAACCAGGAGCTCAAACGATGATGGATG